GGCGCACTCGGTAGAGGGCGGCGCTCCCGCCGAGGGTTCGGATCCCATATAGAGACCAGTCAGCTCATTGGTTGAGCGTGGTGCGGGCGCGACACCGAGGGTTGCGATCCCGTTGCCGGTTGCAGTACGGGCGCAACACCGAGGGTTGCAATCCCGTTACCAGTCACGAAAAAAGACAAAAAGGAAAAAAAAAAAAAAGTACTGGCAAGTCATACTCACGGATAAACTCTGATATCCTTTCTACAGCAGAAAATTTAGATTTTTGGCTGACCCCAGCAAAGTTAGTAGTTGATGCTCATGGCTACCTAAAGCTTACATCCTGCCTTGAAGACCAAAAGGACACTTTGCCAAAACCTCCAACAAAAGCCCAACAATATAGAACACAAAATTTTCAGACAGTTCATCAGAATTCTATATTAACTTTACAACAGAGGTATTGGTATAAGGTTCAAGTCATTTTTTAAGTTTGAAAAATTCTGTGAAGTGTAAAGTCAAAAACCAAAATGTTTACACAAATGCCCCAGAGTCTACCTCATCACTGCAGTGCTGACTTGTCTGTGTGGCTGGGCTGTACCATTAACATTGGTTATGTGCTTCAGTAGTGTGGATGGGCATTCTGTGACTTTGTATATTCTGTGAAATATTTATACAAACAGAACTCATACATGCATTGAAAGATTTTTAACTTCCAAAGAAGAAAAGCATAGTAGCCTAGTATTTTTGAATAAATCCAATTAGAAAAATAAAATCTCTGGTCTTATCCACAGTAGTGGACATATAAACAAATAACACTGAGAAAAACTCTCCCTCCCACCTTCCCCTTGATACTTTGACACCTCTAAAGACAACACCAGATAGGTGGTGGACAATCAGTGTGCCAGTTTCACCACCCAGAGACACAGGAGTTCAAAATACAAATTGAGTTATAAAAATTTAAAATTACTACTATTTATGCAAATCTGTTTGGGAAATGATGATTATACCTGCTCAAAAGCTTGCTAAATGAATGAATACAGAACTCGATGCAATAATAAGCTGGCTAACCTTTGGAGGACCAGTGACAAGTTTATAGAATATTAAAAATACTGATTGAGGTATATGTAACTTAAAATCCAAGACTTTATGTATTCAAATATATTTATATTTATACATGGAAATATATATATATGCATATATAACAGGATATACTAAAAAGCCATTTTTAAAAATGTGTTGGCTCATTTTGAAATGAAATATTTATGTAATACTTTA